CCTACAACAGGGATGTTCTTCTGGCAAACGGGTAGATAAATAAGGATCTCACCGAATTTGGTGGAAGCTGCATCTGGTTCGTTACATTCGCCATTCGGTCTCCGCCAAGTGACGTCAATTGTTTACCTCGGGCGCGGTACACTACGCCTTTTCCAACAGTTCTATCAAATTAAGGAATGGCTCCTCTCCTAGATTTAACATCAGCAGAGGAATCAGACAGGGGTGTCCAGTTTCCCCCTACCTGTTTCTTTTGGTAGCTCAGCTTCTGGCAGATCATATTAAAACCAGTCCTCTGAAAGGGTTAATTGTTGCAGAAAAAGAACTTATCCTAACACAACTGGCTGATGACACTACCCTGTTCTTAAAGGACAAGGATGAATTTTCATTAGCAATTCAAGAATTAAATAATTTCTCAAAAGCTTCTGGTCTGCATTTGAATCTCAAAAAATGTGAAATTATGGCAGTTAAAGATTGCACTGAGACATCAATTGAAGGCATTCCAGTTAAAAACAAGGTTGTTTATTTAGGCATAACCATTACAAAAGAACAAAAAAATCGTAGCTCCTTAAATTTTGATCCTTTAATTCTAAAAGCTAAAAAGAAACTTAATCAGTGGTTGGTTAGGGATCTTTCACTAAGAGGTCGTATTCTACTTAGTAAAGCTGAAGGCATCTCTAGGCTCACATATGCTGCTCAGGCTTTAGATCTTAATAAAGGCACTGAAAAAGAAATAGACAAATTGCTCTTTAACTTTGTTTGGAAGAATAGAATACATTACATTCGAAAATCTACTTTAATTAACTCATATGAAAATGGAGGGCTTAACTGTTTATCTTTCTCCACATTAAATAACACATTCAAAATAAATTGGATTCGCCAGTTCTTCGCATCTCAAACTTCTATATGGAATACTATTCCGTATTACATTTTTTCAAAACTTGGGGGTTTAACCTTCTTCCTGGTATGTAATTTTGATGTACATAAACTTCCCATCAATCTCTCTAATTTTCACTGCCAGGCTTTTTTGTCACAGTCACTTATCTACAAGCACAACTTTTCGCCTCACCGGTATTTTATTTGGAACAATAAGGACATCCTGTACAAGAAAAGATCATTGTTCTTGGATTCTTGGTTCAGGCATGACATTACTCTGGTTGATCAACTATTTGATGACAATGGCACATTATTGAGTTATGAGGGATTTCTCTCTAAATTTGACCTCCCTATTTCTTCTGGAGAATACGCAAAGGTTTTTGGTGCCATTTCGTCTGGGATCTGCATGTTATATAGACAGAGGCCAAGACTCGATTCTTCTTCATCTCCCTCTCTGACTCCCATGGACTCTCCTGTTGGCAAAATATGTCTCACCTCATCTCTTCATAAGAACAATAAGTCAATCAGATCCCTCTTGCAGAGAGAGGTGGCGTCTGTTCCTGCTGTTCTATCATATTGGAACCGATTTGTGTCTGATGTTTCCTGGAAACACATGGCTGTTACCTAATCACTTTCTCCTCACTAACAAGGTGAAAGAAGTCTCATTAAAACTCATTTACAGGATTTATCCTGTAAAAGACTACCTAAAAAAGTTTAAACCTGATATTCCTGTGAACTGCACTTTTTGTGATCTTCTCTCAGAAACTGTAACACATTTGTTTTGGTTGTGTCCATACTCTAAGACATTTTGGTTACACTTTTGCAACTATGTGAATTCAAATGTTATGAAAAATTTTCAGCTTCATTGGAAAAACATTTTATTTGGCTTTCAACTGCAAAGTAAAATGTTTCCCAAACCTTTCCTTATCAATCTTTTAATTTTGTTGGCCAAATTTCACTTGCATAAATTTAAATTTCTAAAAAAAAAAACGGACTTTAAAGCTTATTTAATAGAAGTCAAACAATATTTTCATACAATTAAACTTTCTTCTCATCAGAAAGCACAAAAAACCATAACAATCTGTTCACAACTAGAAATTCTAGACAACTTAATGTTGTAAAAGATATATTTATTTGTATAATACATACACATATATATATATGACACTCCCCAGCACATATGTTTGTATAATTGCTTGTTTTTTTCCTCCTAACTGTACTTGTTTATTGTGACATACCCCCTGGCATATTTATTTGTTTGTTTATATATTTTTATGTGACCTTGAGTGAAATAAAAAAAACAAAAACAAAAAAACTACGCCTTTTCCACCTAAAATGGCGTCTTAGCAACAAATGTCACGTAACTGGCGGAGCCCGAACTGTAATGACTTATCTTGGACAGGTTGCTATGTACACGCAATAGCAACAGTACATGATTGACAGATTATCTGCAAATGTAGTGCAGTCTGATCAGAGCCCCAAGACAGAGACTGTAGGAGTCTGTCTGTGGAAATCCACAAATGAATGACAGTAGATAGGGAAATGTAGTTTATATAATTTGTTTTGCTTATAGGTACACACTTTAGAGAGTAAAACTGACATTTATGAGTTAATTTCTAAAAATATATTTTACGTTTCTCTCTTCTTATCAGGGAGGGCGGTGCCCCAGCGCCCCCTATGGGCCGGCCGCCACTGATATAAGGTTCACCTGTCCTGTAGTCTATAGTGCCGTGGTCTCCAACCCTGGTCCTCAAGATCTACTGTCCTACAGGTTTTAGATGTATCCCTACTTCAACACAACTGAATCAAACGAATAGCTTGAAAAGGTAATCAATCATTTGATTCAGCTGTGTTGAAGCAGGGATGCATCTAAAATCTGTAGGACAGTAGATCTTGAGGACCAGGGTTGGAGACCACTGCTATAGTGTTTTCTAACTACCTTGGCTTTGTCATTATGTTTAACATTTTCTCTCTCTTACACGTTCTTTTGAACAGAGCTTCTAATACAACTAACTACATCTATCGTGTGCCTTTGTTCTAAGGCACCACTGGCTTGGAATTTATCTTTTTAACTGTTTCTCTCCAAAACAAGACACAAATGTTCTTTATTTTGTTTTCTTTACTCCACCACCACATACTCCTTCAGTGGACTTCCTGCAAAGGCAATGACCCAATACAATCAGCAAGGCTTAAAAAATCCATTAGTGATTTAATTTTACTGTAATGTATCACAGCTGAGATTA